GATAAACATTTATACAATTTTAATTATAAGGGAGAAAAAAAAATGAAAATCTGCAAGATATAAATACTGCAAATACTTCCTGAACAAGATATGCACTAGGACCGCCGTTTTTTCTAATCATATATAAAAGAGTTCCTGGTTCAAAAAAACATCCATCTGACTTATTATTTAATATTAAAATTTAACAACTAACCTGTTTTGCCATGTACTTGTGCAGAAGCATCAGAATTGTATGAGATTTTATTATATTTCTTCACCACACCAACGTTACAACTATTTACTACGTAGACAAGATATCTCACAACAAGACTTCAATTGAATTGAATATTACAAAAAGTCTTAGCTAAAATTTAGGTTAGAACTAATTTCTCGATTGTCAAAACTAAATAAAAACCAGAACAAAACTATCGCAGAAATCCAAAGTGAACTGAACGAAAAATGACAGAAGTCTGCAAAGTAATCGCTAGAAGCGAATGCAAATTATCACTTCTAAAAACGAGCGCTTGTCGAACAAAGAAACAAAAATTCGAAACAACTGAAACAAAAGACGTTTCATCTTTAACGGCACATTAACATAACATCGGAGATGGAAGGACCTTTGAAGAAGTTCGCCACTCGTGGTGGCGAAATGTTAGGAAGCAACTACAACCGACGACGGCCGAATTAGCCCAGAAAAGATTATTTTATGATTGTTCAAAAAAAAGTAACAATTAATCTGTTTCTTCGTTCTCTTTTACATAAGATTGAGTTTAGAATACAAACATTGATATTTGCAATATATATAAACCTTGTTTAAACTGCTACTACTTTTTAACGCCTCCTGTCTTATTGTGTAACACAAAAAGTTTGTTTATATTCCACGAACTAAAGATATCACAGTTATAATTTGGAGATAACCAGAAAAGCTAAAATGCATAGATATGAAACCTATTAAAAATTATTATATAAAACGAACATAACATGTAAAAATTCTGTTCGTACTTTCAAACAGACAAGCAAATAAACAAAACATTAATATATTCCGTTAGAGAGAAAAAGCGTTTTTGGTTTCCTGTTCACGAAGGACTAAAACTAATTTAAATTCACTTCTTAAGTTTCATAATGAATACTAAGTTGACGCTTGTTTTCTTATTTTCTTTTCATCATGGCAAGACATTATAAATAAATAATAATTTGAATACGGAAATGTCGGCTTTCTCCTTGCGTATATTAGTTACGGAAAAGCTATTTTGTTTTAACCATTAATCACAGCATTGCGCTATTACAGAAAATGCATTACACTTATATCGGATAATCTGATAGGGGCTATAATTAATCTAAACGTCTTGGTGAACGTTATTCCGCTATAATAACACAAAAAGACAACTCTGGTGGCATGGCCGAATCCTATGTCAATCTAGACCATTCTTTTATCATCACAAGTATAACAATATTACATAGAAATATATCTAAATATAGAAAACTTTTTTATAAAATGTAGAAATTAGAAAAGCCCCAGAAAATAGATGTATTTTGGTCAATAACCAAACAAGGTTATCAACTTATAATTCCACCCCAATACTTCTATAGAAAGTGTATATTATATTGATTTCCACTCGGAGTTGAAACAAGCAATTTTCATCTGACACGGTGCCGAATTAAAAATCCAGAAAAGTCGTGCTGTAACCGAAATTCATTTAAACTTTGGTTGTATGTGTGCATCCCTTGTGACATGTCCGATAAACAATCCCTCAACATCAGTCAAAATTCTGTTGTTGCTTCCTTCCGTTCGAAACAGATAAGCTGATTATCTGTAACTGACAGAAACAAATTAATCTTTTACCATTATTAAACGCTTAAAAGATTAATTTCATTTTTTATTCAATAGCCAGTAGGTAGGAAAAACTGAATTTTGCAGTGTAAATGCATGGCTGCACCAAATAAAATTAAATATAAATAAAATTATTATAAGTACATAATTAGATGAAAAGAACTGTATCTTGTTTTCAGGTTTTGTCTGCGTGTGGTCCCATGAGCGTTTCCTTTTTTACAGTGGTGGTTTTCTTTGGATCGTTTTATCTTATAAATCTAATGTTAGCCGTGGTAGCCCTAAGTTATGAAGAAGAAGCTGAAATTACGGAAGAGGTAAGACTAATTAGGTATAGGTAAAAGATCGTCAAGTTCTTGATGGTGAGCACCAAACTTCATCAAAAGAAATTGTTATTTCATTTTTGTTGATAAAATAAAATGCGATTTTTATTATAATCTGTGTATCATAAATTTACCGAAACAAAAAGAAATTCCTGTTTTATTAACGTATCTACCTATAATAAACTAAATCAATTTAATATTATATTTACGAAAGGCAGTTTTGAAAAAGTATTCATAATTTTTTGGTAGATTAATCAAATTAAATTTGTAAGCTTTTTGCGTTGTTTTAGGATAAATTTTGGAAAAGCAAACAAAATATCCTTCAAATTACCTAATGTATCAAAAAAAGGAAATAGAATTTCCAAATTCATTCATTATCATTTTGATTGGTTTGTTTGAATACTGTTTGAAATCTTAAATTTTATTCACTCTTTTTTCTGTAACATAACAACGTCAAAAACTTTTAATAAATTGCAATGAGAATTTTAAGTTTCCAAATTACGTAGATATTAGTTCGTAGTTTTCACACTCTTCACACAGCAAATGCATTCAAGGAAGAGCTGACATAATAAATTTTAAACTTTAATCAACCAGATAATTAATCTTTCTTCCTGATACCTCACTGCATATTATTTCAGCTAACTGTCGTACTAACTAGAAAATTACTGGTGCACGTATTATACAGATGATTATTTCGTAACATTCGGCATTCTGGGAAGGAAATTTATCCTATATTGAAACAAATTGGTTATTAGATATATACATTATAACTGAATTAAATAAAAAGCAAGTCTAAACTCTGTGTGGCACCCTTTAATACCATTTCTCTAAAATGTAACCTTTAAGAGGGTGCCTTCACATCGATATATTTTCCTTTTATTTCCTCAGTTAACGATACGATTTCCAATTTTAATCCTCTCGTTGTATAAGCCAGATCGCTTCATTGTTACAGGAAAGAAAAAAAGATCTCAACGACTACCGCGAAGATTCAACATTCAGCTTTGATCCTTCGCTGCTCAACGTCAAGAAGCTCTCCAAGCACAAAATAAAAAAGATCGATGCTCGTAAAGGACTGCTTTTGGCATCATACGCCCGAAAAAAGACGAGAAGACGAAAACGAGCCAAAAGTGCAACGTGCTCCTCGCCCTCGAATCACGAGGGCGAAGACTCAAAGAACGCCCGATCGGTGACGCCCAGTCCGAGTCCCAGCCCGAGGCACAGTCAAGGCTCTCCCAAACCTTCAACCCTTCCTCTACCTCTTCCGAACAAACCTTCGAATCAACACAACGAACGAAAAAGTACGGAAACTCTCTATCCTACTAATAGATTAGGTAAGTTTATATTAAACTAGGTTTTGTCCTAAATACGTCTCAAAGATCATCGACGACCACATAAAACTAAACCTTATGACCTTTTCTGTACCCCTGACAATGTGTGTTCAAAATTCCTTGATGATTGGTTGAGTGGTTAAGGAGTGAAATGGTAGCAAACGCACTTATAATACTAGTTAGGATATTTATAATACACAGAGCGTATAAAAATATAATAAAGGCTTCAATAAAACTGTCACTACAGTTTTCCATTCTTTCCGTGAATTTATAGTCAGTGAATTCAACGTCAGTCTCGTAAAAAATTGTGCTCAAGGCATAATGCATAAATTATCAATAACAAATTATTTTATAATGAAATGTCAACGTCGTAATAAGGGTCAGATCGCAAGAAAGGGTTAACCTTTATCTGGAAACTGATTCATTCTGATCCTGTCATTTTTGCTACCTGCCAACCTCAAACCTTGACAAGCATAAATAATTATAATTGAAATGGGTCTTCTGAGGGTTTTAGACGCACAAATTCTTACAATTAGCATATTGTTATCGATTTTGAGTATATAGATCAACGAGGAATGCGCAATAATTATTTATTATTATTTGCTGATACAAGGCAAAGACGTTGAGTATCTAATGTACTATTATAAAATTCCTATATTGCAATTCTATTTTTTTAAATTAGTTAAATAAACATAAATTAATTAACTAATCGAAATAGAATAGATGTTAATGTTACTGATATTGCTTTAAATACTAAATTCCCTAATTCTTAATTGATCACAAGAATCCAATCTTATTGGAGTAAAAATGCAAAGAATTTTCGCCTGATGATGTCGGCAAGGAATCGCCGATAAAACGTTCCGAATAAAAATACTTACAAATCTGCATCCTTTATAACCTATTAGTAAGGTCTTAATTCACTTACTAAAGCAAACATAAAATACTTCTCTGTAATGATTATGTAATCGTGTAATTTTGATCAGAAAGCTTTTTAAGTAAATACGTATAAATCTCCTAGAATCAGTGACTATTTGATGTTTTTTTAATGCCAAGTAATTGAAAAGCAAACAAATTTTCGTTGTTATCGATTACCGACTGCAGATTTAAATCTAATTTTGGCTATCCACCGAATTGTTACCATAAACCACCAATCGAATTTCATTTCTCATAACGGTTCGCGCAGCAAATGTATGTTTGCAGTCGTGGGCTTACAGTGTAAACCCCACGGATTTCCCCTAGTAATACACACAATAACAGGATTTGACGCGATTACTCCTCTACATGCGACGCAGTATTTTAACTGACAACGAATGATTAACTCAATTTGTAGACATTCTCTACATCAAGTCGTCATTAATTTTCGTTGAGAAGGAGTAGGTACTTCAAGATAATTTCCACTTTGCACTAGCGCACATATATATATTATTAATACGATTTTAACCATTGGCAGCTCGCAGAAGAAAGTGGTCTAAATTGACAAAGTGCTTACTATCAGAAATTACAACTGAATGTATTTATTTAGTTTTAATAAAGTACCTGCTGAGTACTGAGGCTTAGCCAAAAAAAAACTTTTGGGTGTTTCATTCCCACCAGCCAGTATTGCTGGTGGGCGGGCAGTCCCTCCGGACTATGCCGGAAGGTAGGGCGGAAGGCCCTCTTCAGCCTGCTTTCAGGAATCGTGGGAATGGGTGGGTGGTGGTTCGGGTGAGAAAGATGAGACGGACGAAATGAAGACAGAAGAGAATGAAAGATTATCTGTGGAATATTACTGCCTCAGCATTTGCCTAAGTGATCCAAGGAAACCACAGAAAAACTTGGACCAAGGCAGACGGACCCGGAATCGAACCGGCGTCCTCCCGAATGCTAAGCAATGGTCTAGACCTCTAGGCCATGCCGCTCGGTCGAGGCTTAGCCTTATGAACAGATCGGAGAAAGCGCCTAATCGCCTAATCCCATCGTGGTTGGGTTAGGTTAGGCTATGTAAAAAATTACAAGGTGTTACCTGCTCCTCTATTGTCATTGCTCTGTTACCTACCTTACTTCTATTTTCAGGTACAACACAAAGTCTTCTATAGAAAGTTGTATTGTAAATTGTAAAATAAATACTGAAGGGTCGGCAAAGTTTCTGAAGTTACAAAATTATAAATTGTAAAGCAAACCAACCAATCTCAAGTAATGTTTAAGTCATAAAAAGTTTCGTTATAGAAAGTATGAACTCTATCTGTAAAACATTTGTATTTACGTTTTTAAAAATAAAAACGGTCTAGACTTAGATATTGCTCCTAGAACAATTTTGAAGCAAACAATTCGTCTATTACAAAAATAATATATAAACCAATAATAAGTTTTCAGAAACTTACTCCAAAATAAACGAAACTCTAAGAAACAAATGACCAAAAGCAGTAGATATATGCCTAGATTTGATCAATATTTACTAATAGTTAAGGACCTGGTATGTTCTAGTTTAAGGGAAGTGCGAAGATTAGCTCGGAATAGAAAACAGTGAAAATATGTATTCAAACTAACGACTAACTAGCTTTATAATGATTTTGAATCTGTAAAAAATAAAGGCTTCTAAAATCAANAAATAATTCACTTACCTAATATTTTAAGTAAATCAGTCTTTACAAGTTACGTTGTAGCGAGTAATGTAGGTATCCTATGCTGAATAAAAGATATATAGGTATGTGAAAGTTACATACCGGATGCTAGTGGTGACTTGCATTAGACTCAACTAAACAGGCAAATTGCTTCTAAAGACCCTGATGGCAGTATATGCCCCTGAATTTTAATTACCTCTTTATCGACCTTATTTATTAAGAGCATCCTTCGTGATGTTCCGTACTTCTTGTGTCAACAATAAGAGCCTTTTGATATAACCAATTATTAAAATGGGGAGACTGTTGTCTCTCGTATCTTCTGCGATACTTCAATTATTTCTGAAAATATTCTAATAGGTATGTAGTCAAACAATGTAGCATCGTCCTACAGATGGCGTTTACTGCGCCATTTGTAGTATTTTCTAAAACGCACTGTTAAGACAGCAGGTAAAAGTTGGTCTGTGGTCTACCGGAGCTGCCTGCGACGCGCTGATGAGATCCAAGAAGGTCGAAATCGCGATCCGCGTCTGGCAGTTTCGACAGAATATAGACCACTTCGAATAATTTTATTCGGTATGTAGTCAGTTTATATGTATACCTGCATAAGTAGAAAAGAAGATTTCGACAGTACCTTATCGATTTGTAAATAAGCCAGTATAGGTATTTTTTTAACATCAAACCCGACAGTACGTAATTATAGGTCAAAGTTACCTATTACTAACGATAAGAAAATCCAACCGACAAAAAATAATAAAATCGTTCTTTTCTGGATTTTATTACTGCTTGAATTAGTTCGTGTAATGACGTAAAGACAATCTCTCAATAATTTTGCAGCAATACGGTCGAATTCAATATCGATGAACGTTCTTTTTCGACCATATGATATTTCCGCTATAGTAGACGTTATCCAAATCAGAAACGGGATTATCGGATATTAAAACGGAGCAAGTTAAAGAATTTTATACACGCTGCCCTTCCTTGGGGATCCCATAAATTTCAATATAATCTGTTGAACGTGAGAGCTTTTGTGCCGTAAAGTCGATATTATACAACTGACTTACTCGCTGATATATTCGAGAAAGTTTTGCTTATTTCTATTTCACGACAGTATACAATGCCTACGCATATATGTATACATACACAGTGACGTTGACAGCTTTTTTCTGTTACCACATTCAACTAGTTTACTCAATACATACAAAAAGTTAAAATGAACTTTCCATCAACTGAAGTCTCTCAATTAAATTGAAAATTTAAGTTCAATGAAATCTATCGTAGATACTAAATACAGTCGAAGTCGTTTATAACGACCACGAATTTAAGAATTTTGTTCGTTATATCCGGTCGTTCGTCAACTAAAGAAAATCAACAACTTTTATAAAATGTCATATAAGTATTTCAGAAACACACAAACGGTGCAAAGAAAAAAGGAGAGCGATACATATTACGTGGTTACATTATGTTGTTATGTTTCTCTATATAAATAATCATACAGTTTGTCAAAGGCTTAAAGTAACGAAAATTCAGCAATGTACAAAGTTTGGAACCACATACATAGTTTATTAAGTCCATCTTACAAAGAAATATTAGTTCGCTTTAACCGATTGAACCTACTAATTTTCCGTTCAAAAACGTTCGCTAAAGCCAATCATTCATTATAAATCTGTAGGTGATTCTGTAAGAATTATTCGGGAACACACAGTATTCCCAATGACAACGCTAATCGAAAAACATCATGACTTTCCATAAAGCAAACAATCTATCATTTGCAACATGGCACAAAGGGATTTATCTTCTTCAGTTTTATGGTGCACTGCGTTATTATCGATCATAAAAATAAAATGTGATTTAAATGCGACAGTAGCTTCTTTCAGGAATACATAATGAAACATAAAATCTTCATAAATCACTTAAATTTAAGTGCTTATGTGACAACTTTTTTCTTTTTCTGTAATTCCAAATTAATCGTTGAATTAATCATACCTAACCAAACCTTACTTGTAATGGCAGTTATTGATTTTTGTGTGTCGATAGTTACCGATATTTTAATTTTCGCAAAATTTTCATTATAAATGCATATAAAACCAACCCTATACCCGATTTTCATGATTATCACATGTAATTATCACATTTATGCAATCAACTATACACTCGTATAAAGACATTTAGACCCACCCGCCTTTTTTCAATTGTTCATTTCCAAATAAAATTCGTCAAAATTGCTGATTTTAATTAAAGATTCTGATTAAAGAATAGCATCCTGTTTATCGAAAGGAGATCTAAGACATAATTTGATATTTTTTATTTGTTATTAGTTTCGAATCTATGTTTAGTCGATGTTTCTGTATGAAAAAAAAATTTTTGTTCTAGCACCCCTTCGAATTGGTCTTCAAAGTCGCCAAACCAGCAGTAATACAAGCGAAGGTAATAATCGTGAATCATCATTAGATGATTCCGGAGTTGTTGACGATCATGAAGATGCTGATTGTACATCTGAAGACGTTGCCACCACTCAGGTGCCAAACATAATTAAGGTACGTATAAATATTTAACAATCAATACAAATTAATACAATTTCGAACATTAGCTAATTTTTGCTAACGTTTTACAAAACATACATTCAGAATTATCGTAGTTCATATTTTGACTTTTGTGTTTTTCAAGTGGATTATATTAACATATTGACATTAACAGATACAGACCAAAATAAAAAATAACCATTTATTAACTCGGAATAGAAAACAGTGAAAATATGTATTCAAACTAACGACTAACTAGCTTTATAATGATTTTGAATCTGTAAAAAATAAAAGCTTCTAATATCAATTATGAAAAATTTATAATGAAAATAGTACCGAAGAATTTCAGAAGGAGTCTCAAGTAAGTAAATACTGGTTGGTTGTATGATTCAAAATGCATTTGGAAGTGTAAAATAATTCACTTACCTAATATTTTAAGTAAATCAGTCTTTACAAGTTACGTTGTAGCGAGTAATGTAGGTATCCTATGCTGAATAAAAGATATATAGGTATGTGAAAGTTACATACCGGATGCTAGTGGTGACTTGCATTAGACTCAACTAAACAGGCAAATTGCTTCTAAAGACCCTGATGGCAGTATATGCCCCTGAATTTTAATTACCTCTTTATCGACCTTATTTATTAAGAGCATCCTTCGTGATGTTCCGTACTTCTTGTGTCAACAATAAGAGCCTTTTGATATAACCAATTATTAAAATGGGGAGACTGTTGTCTCTCGTATCTTCTGCGATACTTCAATTATTTCTGAAAATATTCTAAATGGTATGTAGTCAAACAATGTAGCATCGTCCTACAAATGGCGTTTACTGTGGTCTACCGGAGCTGCCTGCAACGCGCTGATGGGATCCAAGAAGATCGAAATCGCGATCCGCGTCTGGCAGTTTCGACAGAATATAGACCACTTTGAATTGTTTTATTCAGTATGTAGTCAGTTTATATGTATACCTACATAAGTAGAAAAGAAGATTTCGACAGTACCTTATCGATTTGTAAATAAGCCAGTATAGGTATTTTTTTAACATCAAACCCGACAGTACGTAATTATAGGTCAAAGTTACCTATTACTAACGATAAGAAAATCCAACCGACAAAAAATAATAAAATCGTTCTTTTCTGGATTTTATTACTGCTTGAATTAGTTCGTGTAATGACGTAAAGACAATCTCTCAATAATTTTGCAGCAATACGGTCGAATTCAATATCGATGAACGTTCTTTTTCGACCATATGATATTTCCGCTATAGTAGACGTTATCCAAATCAGAAACGGGATTATCGGATATTAAAACGGAGCAAGTTAAAGAATTTTATACACGCTGCCCTTCCTTGGGGATCCCATAAATTTCAATATAATCTGTTGAACGTGAGAGCTTTTGTGCCGTAAAGTCGATATTATACAACTGACTTACTCGCTGATATATTCGAGAAAGTTTTGCTTATTTCTATTTCACGACAGTATACAATGCCTACGCATATATGTATACATACACAGTGACGTTGACAGCTTTTTTCTGTTACCACATTCAACTAGTTTACTCAATACATACAAAAAGTTAAAATGAACTTTCCATCAACTGAAGTCTCTCAATTAAATTGAAAATTTAAGTTCAATGAAATCTATCGTAGATACTAAATACAGTCGAAGTCGTTTATAACGACCACGAATTTAAGAATTTTGTTCGTTATATCCGGTCGTTCGTCAACTAAAGAAAATCAACAACTTTTATAAAATGTCATATAAGTATTTCAGAAACACACAAACGGTGCAAAGAAAAAAGGAGAGCGATACATATTACGTGGTTACATTATGTTGTTATGTTTCTCTATATAAATAATCATACAGTTTGTCAAAGGCTTAAAGTAACGAAAATTCAGCAATGTACAAAGTTTGGAACCACATACATAGTTTATTAAGTCCATCTTACAAAGAAATATTAGTTCGCTTTAACCGATTGAACCTACTAATTTTCCGTTCAAAAACGTTCGCTAAAGCCAATCATTCATTATAAATCTGTAGGTGATTCTGTAAGAATTATTCGGGAACACACAGTATTCCCAATGACAACGCTAATCGAAAAACATCATGACTTTCCATAAAGCAAACAATCTATCATTTGCAACATGGCACAAAGGGATTTATCTTCTTCAGTTTTATGGTGCACTGCGTTATTATCGATCATAAAAATAAAATGTGATTTAAATGCGACAGTAGCTTCTTTCAGGAATACATAATGAAACATAAAATCTTCATAAATCACTTAAATTTAAGTGCTTATGTGACAACTTTTTTCTTTTTCTGTAATTCCAAATTAATCGTTGAATTAATCATACCTAACCAAACCTTACTTGTAATGGCAGTTATTGATTTTTGTGTGTCGATAGTTACCGATATTTTAATTTTCGCAAAATTTTCATTATAAATGCATATAAAACCAACCCTATACCCGATTTTCATGATTATCACATGTAATTATCACATTTATGCAATCAACTATACACTCGTATAAAGACATTTNTCCATGAATGCCTTCTAATTCTTTAACTGAAGAGAGCCCAAAAAATTCTAAACTCCTTGGAAACGGATAATCTAAAATATTGGATCGATATTGTTTTCCGGGTTCAATGTCATGGTCCATGGAATTTTGAAGTTCCAAATTGATATCAACACCTGCCAAATGGAACTACGAAATTCTCTGAATTACGACAAACAATATCGATTGATATACGCCAGCTGTGTAAAACTGAAAACTACAAGTGGTGTGTTAATAAATGCCTATAATCCAAAATTCCTAGAAAACGATTCGAAAAACTTCACTTATTAGATGAACCCAAAGCTAAATAAACTATGGATTCCATTTCTTTCTCTTATTACAATGTGTAAAAGATCAGAAACAAAATGGGATAGTAAATATTTTGATATAAAATGATTGATGCCTATTTTACATCAATTAAATTATTTACAACCCTATTTTGGCTATGACCTTTCACGCTAAACAAACTATTTTGGCATTAGTGTCTTTTTTCCAATTAAAACGGCTGACAAAGACAAATAAGGAATCATATTATAGAAAAACTATTTGTTGCTGAACTGAAGAAAGTATAATATAAAGATAGAAAAACTATATCACTTCAAACAGAGAAATATTAATCATACTCAATCTTCGCAGCTGATAATATGGCTTATTACTAATAAAGAAATTCTTTTGGTAATATATTTTTTTGCTGATTCTTATGCCACATAAAAATGAAAGAAATATTATATATTATTGACTTAGAGATAGATCCTGAAAATTTTTTTGAGTTTCCCTATGAATCATTACATTCTGTAGATGATTTACCGGATCGTAATTGTTCTTGTTGCGAACAATGCTGTGTGGATTACACCGGATGGTTACAATTTCAACAGTCTCTTTACAAAATAGTACGAGATCCTTTATTCGAACTCTTCATAACCGTCTGCATAGTCTTGAACACGATGTTCTTAGCTCTAGAACATCACGGAATGAGTGAATCCGTTTTGCGAGCCTTAGACGTTGGTAACAAGGTAAGTGTTAATCATTAATAAATTAATTAAACAGAATATCCAATATCCATGTCATATAATCTCGGCTTAATCTTCTATCGGAAATAGAAAGGAAACATAAAGTCAATTTAATTGAAATTTATTAGATACAGCGTTCAAGTTAAATGTACAGTATTGGTAGAAAGCTTGAAATTAACTAAGCGTTTAGAACTGTGGATGATTATACTGCAAGGAGATGTGAAAATCACAAATCTGTTAGGTAGAAACTAAAATTATTGCATGCAAAATCTGCCAAAATTTAACATTATAACACCAAGTTATAAACGAGTTGCGCGCGCAACACGCGGCGGAGTGTGCAACGGAAGTTGTGTCTGAAGGTCATATATATATTTATAATGTCTCTAACTTACTTAATAACGACATCCAAAAAGCCATCTCCTTTTGATACTGTTGCTACTACAACTCTGTTGTCAGTGTTATTTCTCAAAATTATTCTTTAACAAATTAATTAAACTGAACGACAAATTTGCAAATTACCAGAAAGGTCACAAAAACTTCTTGGAGTACTGAAAGTTCTATACAATTTCTCCGTTAATTAAATCTTTAAGGGGTTCCAAGTTCATTTTAGAATTATAGATATAATTTTTGAATGTTAATTTTACGTTTCAAATATCAGAGCTAACCTTAAGAAGAAATTTACTTTTGTTGTTTATCTGTCAGATATTTATCATTCTCTTCTGCTGAAATTTAATACTGTAGAATACAAAATTAATATAAGTAACTTTTACTTCTATATCTTTTGTGTTTTCTTCTTTTCGAGAAGGCATATTTTAAAAGTTCGAATGGAGTATGAGATAGAAGATTTCCAAAGTTGTATTTGATTAAAAAGTCGACATTTTAATTTTATATTTGCCAATAAAAATGTTTTATGCATTTATTCATTTATAACATCCATTCTGATTCTTTGAGTGGAACGCTGACTTTTCCCTTTTCAAACTTTATATTGAATACGTACTAGCACTTCCTTATAGAATAGGAACCGTCGCTTTGAAATATATAATCTTTTATCAAGTTTGAACCAAAGTTGAGGAAGTCTTAAACTTGTTGAATAAAATTCGCGTTTTTATCAATTGCGGTTTAACGAAACATTTAAAAGTTCTCTCTCCTTTGCCAGTATAACAGAAATCCATATATCTTCAATTGAATAACTCAAATTGGAGATGAAAAAAAAGTGATACTGTTTCCAGTTTTAAAGGAGGTCGCATGAAATTTTATGATTTAAAAGAAATACGAACTTTTGCTCAACAATATTTTTTGACGTTTATTGAAAATTCTAAATTTCAATTTAGAAATCATTTGAGATTATGTTTCACCATTTCTCAAAGATTCACTTTGGCGTAGCAAACTTTTTATAGGTATTATGCCTTGCAAACCGACTACATCACATCTCTAGAAAGATCTTATTAAGACGTTTCTTTGAAAATAGTTTTTGAAACAAAAATCCAGTTTAAAAAAAGCAATTTCTAATTTTTGGTATGAAAATTCTAACCAAATAATAATTTACTTCATATTCTATTAAAAACTAATTCACAGTTGTGATTCTTATATATGTATAACACACCTTCAGAGCCCTCTTTTCTGTTGGCCACTCTGGACAAGTGTCCAGGACCCTGCGATCTAGGGGTCCTTCTAGTTCCTGCTAAATCATCAACCAATAACCGATATTACCTTAAAAAGATGTACGTTTTGCGAAAGTCAAATGATAATTAAATTATCTATTTACTTATTATCTTTTTTGGCATTTTAATCAATAAGGGACCTTTTACGTAATACTTTTTTTACTAACACATTATTTTTAAGATTCATCTAGCTAATAGCGACATAAAAAAAAACATGCCAACTCCAGCAAACTAACTCGATGATCCTGTGAACATGGCATTCGGTCGGCCGGGATTCCCCATTCACGCGCACTTTCTTTTCGTTCGGGACTGAAAATTAAATTGCCTGTTGCCTGTTTTGCTTATGTTTGCGACTGTTTTCAGTGTAAAAAAGTAATTGTCAGTTCCTTCGGATATTTTAACAAAATTATTTTAAAATTTTAAAATAAATTTTCTGTTCTTAAAAGATTACTGTTACTATTACTGTTTTTTGTAATTTAGCCAGTTTTAATATTTACCACAGGTTTTCACATCGATTTTTACACTAGAATGCACCATGAAACTAATAGCGCTTAATAAAGAATTTTTTCAAAATGGATGGAACATTTTCGATTTAATTATCGTATCAGCAAGTGTTTTGGATCTCATTTTTGAATTGGTGGATGGACTGTCCGTTCTTAGGGGTCTCCGTTTGGTAGCTATTTTTATCATAAACCTTTTTCTTCAGAAATTTTTTAAACGAATACGTTATTTTAGTTACGAGTTCTAAAGTTGGCACAGTCGTGGATAACGATGAAAGTACTTTTAAGTATCATTATAAGCACCATAGGAGCTCTTGGAAATCTTACATTTGTGTTGGTTATCGTTATCTATATCTTTGCAGTAATAGGGATGCAATTGTTTTCGAAGGACTACACCGAAGAAAAGTTTTACCCGGATCCTGTACCCAGGTACAAAATTAAGTTTAAAATTGATAACATTAGATTATGTGTGTCTCATAATTTAGTGTAGCTTTCTATTTTCTTTGTTGAAACTTATTATATGCTGTCTACGGTATGTAGTTCAATCAGATATTTTCAAACAATGAATGAATGAAGAATCTGTGGCTAATAAGGGTGAAAAAGTATAATATTACTGCAAAACCAAGCGATAGTTTTGCCCTAAACTGGGGATTTATGAAGGTTATAATTTTTCTCTCTACCCTGTATTAATATATTGTTCATATACAAGACACTTCAAGGAAGAAACCCTTAAAATAATTTTCTTCTTCAAAATTAGGTGTGTGGCCAGTTTCAACAAGCTACTTTTTGAAATGTGGCTTGGTTGTTATATTTTTTTGTAATCATTTTTATGTTCTTTTATTCTAATGTGTAAAGGTATTTTAATTTACCCTTTACATATCGTATTACAGCTATTATGTGAACTAATGTATATTAAATTAGTGTTTTCAAATTTATCAGTTTCTGTATGCCAAAACGGCGGTTTTTTGAATAATAATAAACATTTTTACCCTGATTACCTCAAATAATTCTTCATTCATTGTTGGGCAAGAGAAAAATATGGATACTGTGATTTTTGAACAAACTTAGGTGAAATTTCATAAAACATCCAAATCCATTCATTTACTACACAAAACTTTACTACAGTTGTATTTCAAACCAGCTAATAAGCTAATATATCAAAAACGACAGTTAACATGCAGAAATATGAATGTATGTCAAACCTTTTCGGCAATTACCAGGTTTATCAGCGATGTATGATGCACTTGGTGCTAATTTTAACCAGAGTTTTTCGGTAGTATCCAACATGAGAACTGTAATCATTGAAAAGGATATAGGTAGTAAATTCATTTGATGACAATTTCAAAAAGCTACAGAAATTTTAACTACCTGCTACGTCAAATTACAACTAATAACAATTCATAAAAGTGTTCATAAAATACCAACAAAATTATCTGCTACGTTAGTTAATAACTATAAAAATATGCATACATATATGAGGTACGATGCGATCTAGCCGGTAATTACGCGTAATACCCGTTTACGTGTATTAAATGCAGCGTTTGCAATATGAAAATGAAAATTTCAGGTGGAATTTTACCGATTTCTTTCACTCGTTCATGATGATCTTTCGCATATTATGCGGCGAATGGATCGAACCCTTGTGGGATTGCATGAGAGCGGAACAAAGCGAGGTAAGTGAACGTATAATCGCTAATTATTTGCTAATTATTAAGTTTAGGGTTCCGGAACATGTCTAGCCGTATTTTTGCCGACGCTGGTTATGGGGAATTTTATGGTTCTTAACTTGTTCTTGGCCTTGCTACTTAACAGTTTTAACTCGGAGGAACTCAAAACTCGCAAAGAGGTAGCACTTTTAAGAGCATGCCATTAAACTGTATAACTGCTTTCACACATTAAAATTTCTGGATGAATATTATAGGGGTCTGCAAATAGTGTTCCAATTTCAAACGTAAATAAAAACATTTGAGTTTTGTTTTATTTCGATTAAATCTATTTTTATAAAAAAAAGAAACTCAAGAAGGATTCAAGTTTATTGTAAACCACACAAGATAGGAAATCCGGTCGAAAACGAATAAAAATGTAATAAATGATTAGCTAATCTTTATGACACTATTAAATTCATCGTATATTTTCATCATCATAAGGTCGTCAGTCCTAAGACTGGTTGGATACGCACCCTCACTCATTTCCCTAATACTAGAAAAACCCACATCCTTACCTATTTGCGAATAGTAATCTAATATAGGTCTACCTTTACCCCTCCTAACTCCTGCTTCTGCCTCTACTATGTTTCTAACTAGACCTTCATGCCTGAGAAGGTGTCCTACTAACCTATCTCGCCTATTTCTTATTGACTTCCATGGAGTCCTCTATTCTCTTATTCTTTCTAATAACTCTTCATATCTAACCTTCTCTATCCTCATCATTCGCCTGTAACACCACCATTCCCACCGTCCATGTTTCGCACCCATATAGCGCCGCGCTCCAAACATACACCCTCAACAATCTTTTTCGAATTTCTAACTCTACTATTAAATTTTTCAATTTCCCTACTTACCTCATTGTCCTAACATTCCAATCTCCGACTCGTGAAATATTGCACCTACCCCTATTGCACTTATTGATGACATCATTTGAGGTAGTCCCCACCCGGACATGGACTTGTTTACGTCCGGAGTGCTTTACCCCAAAGGACGTCATCATTTAATCTGTGTGATACATTTTACTAGAGATCATAATAAAACAAATTACTTCAGAATTCCAATATTTGCACACCCCTAGAATATTATCTTAGAGTCCAATAAAATGTTAGAGTCTCAATATTTGAATGTACATTTTTTATGTCCACATGTAATGCAAGTATCACTTTTTTACCATGAAAGTGACACATCCTACATAGTACACATTTACTAACAGCATGATACATAGATTAAAGACATTGTACCTAGATACCATATTGAAGCTACCTGTTTGTATACAATTATTACTCTTTATCTTTTAAACGTTCCGTTTATTTCTGTAATCGTAAGTAATTGCTGATGTGTATAGATTTATGCAGACGAAAATTACTGCATCCAAACTAATAAACCTATTTGCGCCTCTCGGTGCTGCAGTTACGAGGGTGTTATGTACGTCATCGAGTATCGTTCTCTTTAGGGGTAGCTGGGTCACGACTGTTGTGTCACAACCTTAGTTCATTAAAAAAGTTTTGCATTCAACAAGTATGTCGTGTATCGACAACCTGCCGGTTCAGCAGTCCTTGCATTTTGCCCTTGCTCCCAAGTTCACTCGAGAACATCATTTCGTGGCTTTGATATCCTTTTTGTTCCCGTGACAATCGGGCCAGACCATCATCAATTACTCTCATTTGCCATGCATGACACCGTGTTATTTGCATGCGCTTAATATGTATGAGTCTGCCAATGTATAAATGTGGAACTGACTGCCTCCGTGCTTGCCAATAATCTCGATTTAAAACAGGAAGTCGGCGACGAGTCGAATCTCGCAAAAAGCTTCGAGAGAATACAATCTATTCTTCAGAAAACACGAAGGAAGAAAAAGACCAACGACGAAAAAGCAAAAGGTAACCAATGTCTCGAAATGATTGTCAAACAGATGATGCAAAAGCATGCAGAGGAAAAAGAGAAGCAAGAAGGTAAGTTTGACATGCCCGTGAAGAAGGCTTTTAAGAGGTAATTTGGTGCCAAGCTCAAAAAGAGCGGGCGGCCCGAGTTTTATTCCATCCCTAGATACTAGAAATTTAAGACTTAGGAGTCTCGCGTTGATAATGTGTAATTTAATGCTCATTGAAGCAAATTTACTAAAAATAAAAAAATGATAAGCGTTGTCCTAAAATATGCCCTGCAGAAAATTTAAATTCCATCAATTTACTTCTACTAAATTTGTAGTTAAATAATTAAAGGGAGTGTTAAACTGAACTTGACATTTAGAAAAACAGGTTACTTCTTTTTCTATACTCTGATAGAGGTTTCCTTCTGGGACATCTCCATACATGAGCTTAGGTCTAAAAGTGTGGCAGTTGTTGATCATGAAACCCAATAAATAGGAAACAGATAAAAATGAATATCAAAATAAAATATTGTTTAAAAATTTCCTTTTTCTGATTCTAAACAGTGGGTAACAATAAAAAAAAGCGATTTCAGGTTTAAAAGTTACAACATATGGTGAGTTTGCGGCAGATAAAGTTTACAACCGAAGCTATCAAGAAGCTATGAATAGACCGATATCACTGATAAGTTACGATTCCTCCGAGTATAGGGTAAAGAAATTCGTTCAGATGTTGTGAAATGTTATAAATTCAAATTTCGTTTTCAGGAAGTTATACACGAAAACGTTTTCGAAGAAGATAAATCAGAACGTCATCCTAAGACATCAAGACAAGATTCTAGCAGGTCAAATGCTCAACAAGAAAAGTTTGACGTAAAAGTGCTTCAGAAAAGTACATCTTCGGGCAGGGGAACGACGAACGGAGAAAGCAAGGGTACGTCCTTATTACAAAGATAATTTTTAAGGGAGAGTAATTTGATCTCTGCAAATCTGCATTGAGGAAAAAGATAGAGGGTAATCTAAAAAAATCTCTCTAAATTTCCGTAAATTTTCCTTCCAGAAGCTCTAGAGATCGTTCTGGAACTCGATAAAATTCTTCAATATTTGTTAACCTGTCCCAAAAGGCAGATAAAACGATAAATCTCCTTATTTTTTCTCGGGTTTTTATATGTAATCGTTTCCTGTTTTCGTTTCAGATGAATCCCAGGAAAAACCAAAACAATTAGCACCAACAAACAGTTGTGAAACCGAAGGCAGTAATTTTCAATTAACTGAAAATAATAGTAACAATAGCAATCCAAGCCAACAAGAAAAGGAAACTGTTAAACGACCATGGCATACTTTAGTAGCTTATGTGGACGAAATTACGGTCGGAGGACGAAAAAATTCAAAAGGACAATACACCGATAGGTTGGGGGGGTTTCCCGGCTTTGGAAGGAACAAGAAGCAGAAAACGCCACCCGATTGTTTTCCTCAACATTGTTATCAAAGGTAAAACAAAAATCATAATTATTATCATTTTACTATATTTTTATGCAAAATCGTGTGCTTACAATATATGTATTTCAAAATTATCGTGAATATTCTTGTATATAAGTCAGCCATTTGCTATTCGTCTTCGATTAGATCCACCCTGCTTCCAAGGCGAGTTAGTGACAAATTTATCTTTTCTTAAGGTTTTCTTCCCCTATAGCCTTTAGCGAGTCAAAGTCTT